GGCCAACAATGAGTTTTTTTTGAGATGCCCTTTAACCCAATTTCTTTCTATTTTTAGTAGAGATGGGGTCTCGCTCTTGCTCAGACTGGTCTCGAACTCCTGAGCTCAAACGATCCTCCCGCCTCGGCCTCCCAGAGTGCTAGGATTACAGGCGTGAGCCACCATGCCTGGCCAAGAATTCTTGATAGGTTACTCTTAGTCATGTAGTTTGTTAATAATTTCCCTAGTTTGTAGTTTGCCAGTTACTGGTATTTTTTGACATAAATAATGTATTTTTATGTATTAATAGTTATATTTTGACTTTGTTACAGTTTTTTCTTTGGTCTACATGGATTAGAAGGACTTCTTTTGCTCTGATTATATTTTTCCTTGGGGTCTTTATGTTTTCTTTGTTTCATTTAAATCTTGAATCCCTGTGGAATTTTAGTATTTCCACATGAAAAAATGATCCAACTTCATTTTCCAAAAAACAAAACACTGATTTGTGGAATAGTATTTTCTGATTTATGATGTGGTGTATCTATTACTACGCTGGCTGATTTCAAGCTACCAAGGGGTTAACAACTGGCTTGCAAACTTCCCAAGGATTGAACAGTTGGTTCTGAGGAGCCAGTTGCTGCACACCACTGTTTCTAACTCTTATTAAGGGGGAATACTTTCCCTCTCCTGTTGTTTCTTTCCCTTGGAGGGAAGCTACATGATGTAACACCGGCCTCTTTCCACCCCTTTATTCACTATCCCAGGGATGCTGGTGGTCATGCCCAGCTCTTCCTTTTTTCCTCCTCTGAGTTAGTAACCTGCAAGGAGCACATGTTCTTAGCTGCAACATGCTATAAGTTTTATAGAAGCCTGACCACCTGGGGAGGCATAAGGGTATCTAGTCTGGCTACATGAACAAGTCTGCTTCTGCGGTTCAGTAATAGGAAGTCCACTCACCTACAGATAACTATGTCTCCTAATCTAGTCTTCAACACTAATAAAGTTGATGGTATGACTCCCATCTGCTTATACTTTTGTCTTATCTGCAAGTCATTTAGAATGGGTACTATTCTAAATCTGCATTTCTCAACCTTGGCACTATTGACATTTTTGTCTGGATAATTCTTAGTCGTGTGAGCTTTCTGTGTATTATAGGAAGTTTAGCAGCATCACTGGCCTCTACCCATTAGGTACCAGTAGAATCCTCTCTTACCCCTGCCCTCCCAGTTGTGACCAAAATGGCTTCAGATATTGCCAAATGTCTCCCAAGGGCAAAATAATCACCCCTGGTTAAAAGCCACTGTTCTAAATAATACTACTTACTGAACCCTCCAAATTCCCCTAATAATTGGTGCGTGGACCAGGAACATTGGATCTAGGTGAGTAAAAATGGCGGAGAAAATGATGCAATTGTTCCAGCAGGGCAAGATGGGTGGTTTAAGCTCAAAGGATGTTGTATTAGGTGCTAACCATATATGATTTTCACTTTGGCGGGTTGCTGGTGAGTGGGGTTATTTCTGTAGAGGCAGGGCCTGTAAGCAAAGGTGAGGCCCCAGCAAAAGTAAGATGGCAGACAAGGTAGAGGCTGTTTGGGCACTGGTGACTTTTGGTAGGTTTTCCTCAAACATTGGTTTGAAAACTGGCACAGTAACAGAATCACTTAGAGCTACTGAAGAACACAGAGGCCAAGCTTGCTGAAGATTAGGACCTTGGGCCTTTGTATTTTTTCAAGTTCCCCAGGTAATTCAGTTCCTTCCCAAAGCTTGAGGACCTACAGCCTTAGGCTGCTGCAGGTGTGGCAGTGACTATTCAAGACCATTTTAACCCACCAGTTTTGTATTTGTCAATGTTTCTTACCACAATTAATAATTACTTAATAACTGATTATGTCATATTAGAAAGCAAGGTAGCATTCAGAGACCAATGGGGATAAGATAGGAAACTACTTGAAGGGACTGTTTCTAAGTTACAAAAAGATACATATCCATCCTCTGCAGCTCCTATCAAAGGGTGGCATATATTTACCTACACCTTAAGTCTGGGCCAGCTATATGATTTGCTGTAATGTAGCAGAAGCAATGTATCCACCTTGTACACTCCCTCCCTCCTTCTTCATTTTCTTCCTTTCCCTCTTTCTACTTTCTTCCCCACTTCTTTTCTCTCCCCACCCTCAACCTTACCACCGCTATGTTAAGAAGCCAGGACTAGTCTGTTGGTTGATGAGAGGAATGTAGTCCTAGCCAGTAGTCATCTGTCAGCTATGTAAGTGAGGCCATCCTAGAACAGCTGGCTCCTGGCGAACCTACCAGCTGACCACAGACAGAAATGAGTCCAACCATCGGCCAAGCCTAGCCCAAATCAGCAAGAATGACCAGCTGACCCAAAGACTCATGAACAATAATGAATGCTTATTATTCTAAGTCACCTAGTTTTTAAGTGGTTTGTTATATCATAATAGATAACTGAATTAAAGAGAAAGCCAAAAGAAAAAGAATCGTTTCCCAAGGTTGGAGGAGGCTGTTACCCCACTTCCTTACGCTAAAATTGGCAATTAAAGAAGATCTAATCATTTGCCTACCTTTTCAGTAGGAACTGTATTTCAGGATAACCACATAGCACCAGTTGTGGAGGGAAAATTTTTTTTAAATAAAAGAAAGTTAATACTGTAAGTGTAGGACGAACAACATTAAAAAATCACCTTCTTTTTGCAACTATTAGTATAGTAATTGTCTTAGGCAGGGATCACCAATAGATGGTGAAACCATTAGGTAAAAGGTTGATAGCTGGATATTCTCATAATGGAAGAATATCACCCATTACTTACAGTCAGAAAGGGAGAGCCACTGTACAATGGAGAGATCTTGCTGTGTCCTCCATAACACAGTAGTCAAACTTCACATCACTAATAATGGTTAAACCAGACATTATGTGCCTGTCAATGTGATGGAATATGAAGTGCACAGCATCACCCATGAAATACTTTTGCTTAAAATATTTATGCTAAAATTCATGAAGATTGAAGATCTAACTTCCTGTTATGTAAATAGAAAACAGAAGAATAAATTTAATGACACGAGGAGGAAATGAACAAATCCAGAATGTGTGATGTGCCAGACAATTGACCTGGTCTCTTAAATACATCAGTGTCATTAAAAAAAGAAGGTAGGAGTGGAGACTATATAGAACCAGTGGGTGGTACTTGGTGAGTCTGGTTTGAACAAACCAGCTGAAAACATTTTGGAGAAAAGTTGGGAAAATGTGAATATTTAAAATATATTAAATATTAGGGAGGTTTTGTAATATTGTTAGCTATGATAATGCTCTGCTTATTATGGAGGATAATGTCCTTATTTTTTGCTTTGCATGTGTTTAGGGGAGAAGTGTCATGTAATTTAAGTTGAATGATATGTAGCTAATGAGATGGGTAAAGTAAATATGGTAAAATGTTAACAATTGTTGAATCTAGTAGTTTTAAGGGTGTTCATTATTTATAATTTTCTCTGAACATTTTTATAGTAAAATGTTTAAAAAAAGACATACATTTTCCATCAAATAGTACTAGACCTACTTCTGATAGAGAGAAAAGGAACCC